AGTTCACATTAAAGAGACCTTCAGCGGTGTTAAAGTTTGACAATCTTTGGATTAACAAGCTTTCCACAGTTCATCTTTTGACATAATTTTTATTCTAGTTTTAATCCTTTTTTTAGATGATCAATATTCCTCACATAGAAACAGATATGTCTAAAGTATCCACATTACTGCAGGTTCAGGACAGTTAAGCATGGATTAAAAAATAAACCAGTTCAGTCAACAAGGGAATAAAAAAGAAGTGAACAAATAAACATAATCTTTATTCTCCAAAAGGAATGCCATACTACATGCAGAACACCTGCATGAAAATTTAGAAAAATTACAATAATATCACTTGTTCAAGTGTAAGAAATTTTTGGTGATGTTTCTAAAACCACAATATTAGACCTTTAGTTTATACTAAGTATTTTATTTTCACATATAAATGTTGCTATACTTTAAAAAATGCCATCCTTGCCTTTTGATGGACATTTATGGTAAAACCTGTGGAATACTGTAACCATTAAAAGATTATATGATTATTTTTTATTTCTTCAAGTGTTGACATATTCTATAAACTCCTAAAACATTGACATTGTAATTAGTGGTTGCACAAAAAAAAGTGAACATTGCTTAAAGGATATGTTGGTTTTATATAGATAGAAAGGACGTGTCCTGTTTCTGCTCTAGTTATAAGAATGTCCAAAAATAGAAACAAATTATTGGGTTCCTATTCCACTTTAAATAGTACTGTGAATCTAGTTAATCTTTCAAAAATGGCTTGAAAATATGTTTATTTTTCAGAAGATTAAGAATAACAATCAACAACATCTATATGTGAAAATAAAAGTTCTTGGTATTAACTGCAGCTTATCTTATTGTGGCTTCAGATAAATACCTCAAGAACATTTTCTTGCCCTCAAGTCCACTCAAGGTAAAGAGCAGGGTGTCTATATTGTACTGTTCCAATCCTGCAAAAACGTTTATGCTGCTGAAATGGGAAGAAATTTAGATACAATAATTATGGAACATAAAAAGGATGTTAAAAATGGTCAAAGAGATAATCTATTTTTGTATACATGAGAAATCTTGATCATCAGATGAACTGGAAATCAGCCAAAATGATACATAAAACTATAAATTAGAATAATCATTGCAGAAAGTCCACTAATCCAAATATTGTCAGAGTTTAACATCTCTGAAGGTCACTTAAGCTGAACCTCTTTCTAATATCATATGTCCTAAAGTAATAACTGGGAACTTCTGTGTGGAAATAAGGTGCTTGTGTAATTCTTTTAGAAGCAAAGGTTGGAGTGTTAAACGTTGTTTTGATATGAACTGTGTTTCATAGTAGTGGATCTTAACTTATTTATATCTTTTGAACACAGATTAGCAGTAAGTTAGAGATGTGTTTCTCAAACTTTTTTGCTTACAGAACACCTGATTTTTTATTATTTTTTTATCTTGGCAAACCATTATGGGATCTGTGTACTATGCTGGCACTTCCTTCCCCATAATTATGCAAACTTTCCATAGGCCATTGGACCACAAATTGGGAACTACTGAGTTAGAGATTATAAGTTGTGTGGATGTTTCTTAGTGTACTCTTCAGGAAAAATTTAAAATTGTTAATGAAAGCATAACAAAGTGAAACTGTTGAAATGTAACATTAATTTTAGGTAGGTATCTCTCTTCTTAACATTGAAAAAGGTCATTCTGCTGAACTTATCATCACAATAAGAGCAGTGAACTTCAAAAAAGCTTTTCTGTTGGAAAATGTTGTAACTTATGCAACTAAAATCTCATTTGTTTTTGATGGCGTACAATTATCAGAGAGCTATTTTCACCAGTGTCTCAAAGCTTGACTTCTAGTTTCAAATAATCAGTGTTTCAAACAAATCGCTCTCTTACATAAATGTGTTATGATGTATTTGAACTGTGAAGTTAAATGATCTGAGAATGCGGATACAAGTTCTTGAAGATGGAAAATCTGCTCACAGCTTGGTGCATCATAGCAAGCTTCCAGTTCTATTGTAAGGTAGGCTAAAAATGGTATATAGACCACAGCATGGTAATATGCTTGTAAATCAGATGATCCAATATTTTCTCTGTATGCTTGTCTTCTTATTCAGCATGAAATGCCTACATCTTTTGCTTTTGTAAGTATGATTGCACTTTCTAAGATCTCATCAGGCTTCTCTTATATTCCTTTTTTTAGCTCTTTAAGAAAACATGATTATTTTCACCACAGATAAACATTCATATGCATAATAATGTGATGCCTAATAGTATTATTTAAGCCCTAGAAATACGAATATACTTATATGATTAACCTACTACAAAATAAGAACAAGGATCAATCACTCTGATTTTCAATGTAGTATGATATTTGTTAACTCTATATCAAAATATTCATTGTATAAGATATTTCCTTCTATATTCTTTTAGTCATTCATATTAACAGTCAAGCAACTTGCATTACAGCTAAGGGCTTGTAGCAGAAACAGTACACTGTTTAACTTAATAAGCAAAGACCTTTCTTCTCCTTTAGTAGGATAGTGATTATACACTGGTTGCAATATTTTTGCCCTATAGAAACTAAATCTTATTATTTGCGTGAACCTTTTAGTACATTTATTTGTGTTTAGTCATCTCTGATATTTATTTAGCCACTGCACCAGATCTCTTGAAATTTTAGTGGCCTGACCATTGTCTAGAGCAGGACAATTAATTGATTAACTATGTAAATGTTTTAGTGTTGTGTACAATAGTTGATGAATGTCATGAAAATAATCAACTAATCAAAATTATTGTTTCTGAGTACTTCTGTTTTCAAATATTCATGTGACAACCAATCATAATGTAAACAGTCAACACGTGACTGTAATCTAGTGCAGTTCATCGTTATACAAGAAATGAGTGGCATACCCTTTTATACTCTTCCTCTTCACCATTTCCATAATTATTTCTAATATTGAGTTTTTTCATGATTCTAATCACATATCATCATAATGTGAATGCTATCAGCCACTCGAAAATAGCTGAGGCATTCTACAGGTTGAATAACCTGACACAGAATTCAGTGAGTCATCTTAAATGCTGCAAGTGGTCTTGCTTTGCTTTCATCATCCACCTACACTAGCTAGATAACCGATTTAGCGTACTAGTGGGATCCTTTCAACACATGAATCTGTGGAGACCAACTGGCAGAAACATGTTGATGGGCATTATTTAAATATGTTCACTAGCTAAAGTTGACGTAGAATTTTAACATTCTTCCTTTCTTTTTTATGATCACTACTAGCAATGATCGGGTACTTTCTACTGGTTTTGTCCCATGGGACTGGCTATGACCTTGGTGCTCCAAGAAAGCTTGCACAATGGTTGTGAGGATGTGCAAACATAATATTAAATCCTGTATTTTGAAACTTGTCCTTTTATGTTGTGTGTGAAACTGGCTTGTAAAACCTATATTTTTTACCAACATGAACCTCCCATATGTATTTTTATTTTTTTCATAGAAATATTTTAAAAACAGGGCTTTGGAGAAAAAAGATAGAGTTTTTTGCTTTAATGGTGAACAAAGGTCTTATAAATTGGTAGGTATTATTTGGAAAAGCATTAACAGCCTGTTTTGGTCCAAATAGTATTGTGATTTTATGAATGGTTTAGGTTGAATAATTTGATTGTTTGCCAACTAAATAAGACAGAAAAGCTATAGAAATTATTTTTTTTACCCAATTAGCTGATAAAAATTTACAGTATTATGATTAAATAGAAATCACAATTTATTTTAAATTCAAAACATTCCAAGTTCCCTTCAGTGCAGATGTACAATTTATTCCTTTAATATTTTATGTGACTATTATTTAGG